AGTGAGATTAGTTTGCTAGTTTTCGCTACGGGTTTCGAATTTTTTAATCGACGCACATCATCGAGAAAAAGATTTTGTTGAATGACGCGTAACCAAAATAGTCGCGCGTGTTTGTATTCGTCCACCGAAATTATATCGGATGGAATAGAATCGGATTCGTCGTTTGACGACCGCTTTTTGTATATACGATTTCGAAGCTTATTAATAAAGCGGATTAGATAGGCCGTTAGGACGATGCTAGATCCGCGGGATTCTGATGAGTCGGAACATGATGCCACGTGGCATCAGGTATGAGAGTTTGCACATCGTTCACTCGATGCGCGACAAACGTTTTCCATCGAGAAGGAGATTGGCTTAGCCAAGAGAGAGTGACGGTTGAATCCGTCCAGCAATGACATGGAATTGTCGAAAGTTCTAATGTCGTTCTGGGAAACGACATTGTTCGTGCTAAAAGCGCAGCAGCGCATAATTCGAGTCTTGGAATTGTCAAGGGCTTAAGAGACGCGACTTTTGATTTTGCTATTAATAGCGAAACAGTAACTGATCCCATGAGCGAGATCACTTTAAGATATATGACAGACGGACGATGCGTCAGCGAAGCCGTGAAGCTCACAGTGACTTGTGTCGGAACCGAAGGCAGTCCATCGTGGCAAAGAGATATTACGCAGTTGAATTAGCTGCGTGTGATAATTGTGCCATTTTTGCATGAGAGGGGGTGGAATTGGATCATCCCACGAACACTTAGTAGCCCACAATTGTTGCATGATAATTTTAGCAGTAATTATGACCGGAGCAAGCCACCCGAGCGGGTCAAATAATTTTGCTATAGTAGACAGAATTTTCCGTTTAGAATCTGGGATCGACGTGGTAACTTCGACTGAAAATTGGAATGTATCGGTAGCAGGGAACCACGTGACTCCTAAGACTTTGAAACTTTCGTCGCTTTGCAGAATTTTGCCTTGACTGAAACTCATTTCATTGACCGGTAGGTCGTTGAGTAACGTAGGGCAGTTGCTTGCCCACTTACGGAGGAGGAATCCACCTTTTTGTAACAATGAAATTATTTTGAAATTATATTGATTGCGGATTTGCCTTGCAAGCGGCTTGTCATCCGCGCCGAAGATGCAATCATCTACATAGATTTGATTGCGTAAAACTGATTGAGCAAGAGGAAATTGAGCGCCTTCGTCTTGCGTCAATTGCTGAATCGTGCGAAGAGCGAGGTATGGAGCACACGCCATACCGTAAGTAACAGTAAGCAAGCGGTAGTCTTGCACCGCTTCGGATGATGAAGAGCGCCATAAGATGCGCTGATAATCTTGATCTCGCGGATCGACTTGAATCTGCCTATACATTTTTGCGATATCGGCAGTGAAAACATAACGATGTTGTCGCCATCGAAGAATTACCGAACGAAGGTCGGTTTGTAACTTAGGACCGATCATGAGATGATCGTTAAGTGAAGAGCCGTTCGATGTCGACTGAGATGCATTGAACACGACGCGCAACCGCGTGGTGCTGCTATGCTCGCGAATCACCGCATGATGCGGGATGTAAACTGATTGTGAAGCAGAGACGGGTTCGTCTACTTTCTTCATATGACCGAGATTTTCGTATTCCAGTAGGAACTCTCGATATTCGGATGCGATATCCCTTTTATTTTGAAGACGGCCTTCAAGCCGTGAAAGAAGTGATGAGGCGATGTGACGAGATTCGCCTATTGCAATCGGAGGATTGGCTTTGAACGGTAGCCGTACGACGTACCGTCCATTAGAGTCACGAGAATGAGTTGCTCGGAAATGTTCCTCACAACGTTGTTCCTCAGGAGTGAGGTATGATACTTGCGGAAGTTCTTCGACTTCCCAGAACTGACGAATTTCGTCATCGAGATTGTCGTGCAACGTGGTATGATTAACTGTCACGTTAGACATGTTTGAAGACGAACTCGTCGAAATCGGACCAGACATGATCCAGCCGAAAATGGAATTCTGTGCTGTTGGCTGATTAGAGGAACCTGAGCACAGGCCCGGTAACAGAACAGCACCGTATAGATCAGCGCCGATGATCATTTCGATCGGATCGGCACTTGAGGGCTGCGGATCAGCCCATGGCAGGCCGCTTAAATGAGCGAGAGAGATTTGATATGCTATTTTAGGCGGCGTGTATTTAGTCAGAGAGCGCATAATAATTGCGGTCGTTGAGTATGACGGACCCTTGCCGGTCTTAGATGATACCGAAATAAGAGCAGCATGTCGTGCGACGGATTGCGTTTCACCGATTCCGGTAACCGAGACAGCAACGCGTGTTCGCGATAACCGTAGCCGTTGAGCGAGATTTTCACTAATTAAACTAGTGACAGATCCTTGATCTAACAATGCGCGTATGACATCTGTGCGACCAGACGAAGAACACACCTGAATCCGCGCGGTAGCTAATAGAACACGAGATTTGTCAAATGTTGTTTTCGTAATTAAATGTGAAACGACGTTGTTTTCATTTGACGTATTCGTTTCGTTGGATTCAAGGGAATTCTCGGTCGCGCTTGATGTCGTCGCTTCGTGAAGCATCGTATGATGCCTTTGTTGGCATTGACGACAGTTATGTTTACTCGGACATGTGTTCGCGAAATGTCGAGCGCTTAAACAGTTGAGACATCGTTTAAATTTGACAATAAGATCGCGACGCTCGTTAACCTGTTTCTTCTTGAAATCAGGACATACTGACAAGAAATGATCTTGTTTACAAAGCGGACAATGAGCTCCGGTAGCGGTCGTCGTGTGACTTTGCACGGACGACTTGCTCGGTTTTGTTTTGACCGTACTGGTCGTTGGAATATTCTCGAACGCTCGAATTCGCGATGCGAGAAAGTTATGAAGATCCGAATACGACGGATATTCCGTTTTATCGCCTAAATGTAATTCCCATGCTTTACGCGTGGCTTTATTTAATTTTTGCACGACGGATAGACGAGCAAATCGTTCCACCACTCAACTGGACGACCGAGATTTTTTAACGCTTGAATTGACATATTAGCTGTATCTCGAAGCGACATAAGATCCTGCGCGGAATCGGTATTAACGGCCGGTAGCGTATGAATATGTTCCGACACTAATCGACGTTTATCATCGTAACGCGCGAGCAGTACATTCCACGCGATTTTAAAATTAGCTTCGGTCAAAGGGAGATTACGCAACGCGTCGCGTGCTTCGTCCTTTAAACACGAATAAAGGTATTGCAAGCGCGTAACATTCGACAACTCGGCATGATCGATAATCATGGAGCGGAATTGATCGCGAAACGTTTCCCATTCCCGTAAATCGCCGGAGAATTTCGGCAAATTAATGCGCGGCAATGTAAGAGTTTTTTCGGATTTCTGTGATTGACTCACGGATAACCCTGGACTTGATGGCGCTTGATCTGCTTCGAGAGAGGCGAGGGCGTCGGAGATGTAGTCCGATGCGGCGAGATAGGCGTCCTCCAATTCGATGTAGACATCCTCCTTGAAGTATTTCTCGGTATCCTTTTGTTCCTTGGTGGCGACTTTGAGCAGTTGTGCGTGCAGGAGCTCGCATCGAGCGTAAGTCTCCTTGAGAGTTTGAAGGCGATTCCGAACTATGCCGTACGTGTGATTTGCACGGCCGATCTTCTTAAAGTTTTCCAATGCGCGTGTGACAGAGCGCATAGCTAATCGCTGCTGCGATAGTAATTCTTCCATTATGATTTTGAGGGGTTTCCGTCACTTGGTATGCTAGAAACGGAAATCTTGCGATGTGCTACGTCACTTACGTTCACGAAAGTGAACGAAGAGTCACAATGTCCCTTGTTGTTTATCCGCCACGAATCCGGCTCGAAGGACCAGAATGTTCGTGGTTGTGTGAATCGCTGCTTCGATCTCGACTGAGATCTCAAATGACGGAATGGATTTGTGGACTGGAAGATTGAGACCACTGAGCACTCCTCTTTTAACTTGTTGTATGCAAGCTTTATTCACAAGTAAACGAAGTGTTGTTCGCGTGGCACGGCGAGAGAGACGATTAACTGCTGTTAATACGCCGAGACTCATACACGACGGTAGCCGTGATGAGACGTACAAAAGTAACGAGTCGCGGTAGCGAACCCGTAGAAAGAAAGCTGCTGCTTTCAACGAGGAATTTGAGAGCACGACTTGACACGGCAAGTACTGAATTGTGTCTGAGGGGAGAATCGCGCTACGCGATTAGCGCGACGAATCGGCAGGACGACAGCGACATCGGTATCCAAATATGCGGCTAAATTGTAGTAATGATATTCGCAAGACGGCGCGGTGAGTGCGACGAAAGATTCACGGACAGAATCGATGGATGGCGCAATCGATCCTTTATTCGGCTTTTGTAGCGCGAAACTTATCCTATTCCGGAACAATGTATAATAGTATTTTTTATATACATATTCATTTCCATTTCATTATCTTTCAATAATAATATAAAAAACTATTATAGTTTCTTATCTCTCACCTAGAACACTATATTTGATTCGAGATTTTGGAGTGTAAGTTAACCAGTTTTCAATCACGTATATCTTCATAAGTATATGTTTACAAATTATAATTCTAATTAATAATTAATATCGTGATAAGGATTGTTCTGATTATACCAAACAAATTTATTACGTTTATTAGCATATTTGATTATACGTATGTAATATTTTGACATTGGAATAAATACATTAATAAACGTAATAAGTGTTTTGGTATAATGTTATTACGAAAATGATTAACAGAACAATCGTTCCTCACAATATTAATTATGAATTAGAATAATATTTTGAAAATGTATACTTTATGGAGATACACGTGATTGAAAACTGTAACTCACACACATGTGCTTTATCTTGAATCAAATATAGTATCCTAAAGATCGAAGTAACAGCTTTTTTCAAAAATGAAACACAAAACATGAGTATTATTTTCAAAAGAATTCTTATGTGCTCCACAATCTTGAATTAAATATAGTGTTCTAGATGAGAGATCAAAATAACAGTTTTTTATATTTCAAAGACGAATCACAAAAGATCGGTATTAATTTTAAAAAAATTCTTATACCAAATTGTCTATTTTAACGTAATACATTTTATTACTGAAAGATAATGAAATGGAAATTAATATGTATATAAAAAACCTTGGCATACATAATGAGGTACCCAAGTACAGGTTCCAGTTAGACTTAGTCAAATCAGACGTAAGTTCGGAACTGTTGGGTATTACTGAAGAAGAAGAGAAGGGAATTGTTGTTTTTTTTTTTACCTTATTATTTTCTTAAATCTAATGACACGTATCATTTGTACGCCAAGTTAAATTCTATCTTTAAAAACCCAAGAAGTACTATCCTTATGTTTACTTTGAACTGGCACCTTCGATAATATATGAGTCAATTTTCATGGGAATATGTATGTATAAAAGTAACGTCAGAATTCTCTCTCCCTTCTCTTCTTCAGTAACATCCAACAGTTCCCAACTTTACGTCTGATTTGACTAATACTAACTCGAACATGAATACCTCATTATGTATGCCAAGTTTAATATCTTATAAAAACCTACGTGATGTTATCTTTATGTTTAGTAGAATTACATCAACCACAATTACTTAATCGGAATTGACTAATCATGAAGATACACGTGTTAGAAAACTGGTTAACACACACATATGAGCTCCAAAATCTTGAATCGAATATAGTGTTCCAGGTGAGAGATCAAAATAACAGTTTTTTATATTTCAAAACTGAATCATAAAAGATCAGTATTAATTTCAAAAGAATTCTTATGTACTCCAA